ATATACAATGTATGTCAAATATTCTTTATAACATCAAAAGGAAAGATTAGTTCTGATTAAAATGTTGATTGACAGCTCCTGTGCGGAAGTTATTGGATCTGTCTGATGTACGTTCCTTGCAGTGACTTTTACCTTATACGATACCGGGCTCCCCGTCTTCAGCCATCAATGGTATACTTCTTTGATATCCCATTTTTAGATGCAAATGAATGATTGTATATGACCGTCTTTGATCAAGAATATGCTTGCATTAAAATATACATATATATATATTTGAGATAATCATACATTAATTTTTATCCACTTTACTTGTTATTCTCTGAGGTTTTTATAACAGTCGTTAGTATATTTTAAAATGTCTTCAATAAAGATATGAACCAAATAAATTTCCTATTATCAATGATGTAGATCGGAGAGACTGATTTGAAAAGTATCTTACATCCTCAATAGTTAGTACGAAAACTATTTGATAGGGACGGTGGTAGCCTTCAATTTCATATCATTTAAAAATTCAATTTCGTGCGTTGAAACCTGCTCTAGGCGTACATTGGTCAAAAAATCTTTTTCTTAATGATCGGTTAATGAAATGTTTGAATAGGCTTCACTATGAAAATAAAAAATAATTTAGAAGAATTTCAAATCATATCATAACCCAATCACAAATAAAAGCTTCTTCAACTTGTCGTATGTTACCAAGATTTAATGTTTTCGACTGGCTGACAAATAATTACAGATCAGGCGGAAGATGAAAGTTCAAACCAAGTGACAGTCACCGATGATGAGCAAATATATGAGATAAATATTAATTCTATCTTTTGTTCAAGTATAAAAGAATTCAAATCAATCTATAACTCTCTTTGAATCCCTTAAAACCCAAAACATTTCATCATTTCCCCCTAACTCCCTTTTCCTTTCAAATATTTACGGTTGATGAAAATTGGTGATTGATGACGTGTTTCCGGCACCTGTACTCGTCTGCTGGTCACGACACGCCGTTCTATGAAAATCGTCAGCTACTAATTTTTATCTCTTTAACCTTTAGTTTCGTATCCAGAAATAAATTGATGAATGAGGGGAAATGATTTGGAAATAACTCATTACTCCTTCAATTCGGACATTTTTAATCTATTTTGGCTGTTGCTGAGGAAACTGTTCTACTTTGAAACGGGTGACTTCATTTTTTTTAAGAAAGCAGCATCAAATTATAAGGCCTGCCTATGTATCTTTTGTATAATCCAAAGAAAAATTGAGGCATGTGCGTCTGTATTGAGGAGAGAGGCCAGGAGTAGGAAGGGAAAGTTCTCTTCTTCCAAGAGAATAACAAAGACTGCCTCTTGCCAGAGACACAGCGAGGTACCGTTTCATCAAAAAAGATATTAACAGAACAGATCATTACACTAACAAAATGGCGCGAAATAATAAAAACAAAATGGTCGACAGTGATATTGACAGGACACAAAAGATAGGTCAAAGGCCACGTATAGAAATCCCTGGGGAAGAAAAAATGAAATTTGTTGATTGGAAATCAGATGGGTAGAAAATAGGATTATCATCAACAAACAAATAAGGAACGGTTCGTGGAAACTTACTTCTGCCGTTATAGCCCGAGTTAAAAACCTTTTAACCAGATGTCGCAGTCATGCAAGGCTATTTTTCCATTAATCTCCATTTCTCTTCTTCCATCCATAGATTGTGGTATGATGATTAGACTTATGGATGTATTTTAAATTATAAATAAATGCTCTAAGACTACTTTACGGCATATCAAACCAACCTAAATCCAATAGTTTTGACAATGCTTCGGATACTACCGACAAATCTCAAAACAAAGACTTCAAACAGAAGAGCTTTATTAAAGGGGAATAATTAACACTGCCCAAACTCTTCAATAAGGAGGTACAAACAACCTTGATAATGAGATTTTTAATCTCTGAAGGTTGAAAGAGTCCGAGAGCAGATGTTATACTGGAATCTAACTAAGATATTTATTGTCCAAATTTTATTTTCATTTTATGACTATTTCCTTAATTTCTACATTATTGATATCGGCCTGTTTTTCTGAACTGAATTTTCACACAATTAAGCGTTTAAATAAATGAAATCTGGAAATGCCTGTGTTTCGGCTCAACTGATGGGATCACATGTTGGACAATATTCGAAATTTCCTCAGATTTTGCGTCATTTTAGTCATTTGACGTTTTTGAATACACCACAGCGCAAGCAACGATTCCGCTTTCAAACAGTATATTTTTTTATATAATAACCGGGTGGTTTTTTGCTCTGCTACCAAGTCAAATAATTTCAGATTTCGTGATGCAAGTGCAATTTGGTACAAATGATGTGGTGGACGAATGATAAGAGAAAAGTATATCGTAAACGGATCATTAATGAATCACCTGCAGTAAACAGTAAACAAATAATTCATTTAAAATTCAGCTATTTGATCTTTACCGCTAGGGCAATAAATATCCATTTCTATCACATGACCTGTTATCACCTCACGTGCACCTTGTTGAATCAATTTGTCAAATTGTCTAATTAGCATGTTTTATACTTCCGGTTGAGCAGAAATTCAGGGGTTAAATTAAAGAAATTAGCATGTTGGACATTGACAGACATATTGCTCGTTTTAACCGTGTTTTCTTCTTACATTCGAACACAGAAACTTACACAATTGCTTTTTGTGTTCAGAACCCTTTTTTACAGTTAAAATTTTGAGATAAAGAATTACGATGCAAAAGGCTGCTTGCAAGTACTAAACTTCTCATCTAAAACAGAAAGTCTAATTTTTTAGGGCAACAAAAAACACTCTTCATACAATCTCCTAAACGATATCTTGTGTACCACAGTTAGTTCGGTTATGAACAATACTCTACGAGACCATCAAAATTGGTTCAGGTTAAACCGTTCAGACGAGCCTTCTAGCCTTTAGAAGCCATTCTCAGCCCTGATCTGGTTGACTTTATTTTTCTCTTTCTACAAACTATTTATTATACACATAAATAAATTGTTTAGTTTGTAAAAGATCCCAGATAAACAATCTTGTCTTTTTTATGATCGAACTTGAAAGAAAACCAGAAATTATTGCTCAAATACCGCGTAATTATAGGCAGTAAACGTCAGACCTCAAACTTGTGTATTACGTTATAAACACGATTTAATGACGTCATTTATACATGTGTTCACGTCACTGTGTCTACCATGACTTTAAAAATTACCAATGAAAACCACTTTATTTGGTTTTGCTGCATTGTGTCTACAAAAGTTGAGATTTATTATCAAATTATTTCTGCATTAAACCCAGTTATGATGTAAAAGGTAGCTGTTCTTGTCCATGTGTCATGACAGGTCGTTATTCTGGGGGAAAACTGCCGTTTGGAAGAAGACTATATGTATAACAATTGATGCTACCATTCTGTTACCAGCCATACTGAAGTTATAAATCTTGAGCATCGTAACCAAACAACGGGGGAAATTTTCCCAGAGTCCAATACCGCAGATGTTCAAGATTGTTATGGTCAGAGAAAATTTACTATAAAGACAAAACAAAACAACGTTTGTAGTAACTATAGTACAACAATTTACGCTGGTTGTGTTGGAAATAACCGTTAAACAAATCCAATGAATGAATTAGGATTAAAATCTCTTTAGTCAAAGCTTAATTATAATTCCTTTATTTTCACTTTTCCGTGTGTTCAATTTCAGTGGACAATGTGGGTAGTGTCCAGGCAAAGCCCGTCCGGATTATATTTTCCACGGTCAAAATTCCAACCTTCTGTTTATCCGACCATATGTTCACTGTTTATTTTGGAATCAGATTGAGTTTCAATGAGTTTTTAAAGACCATAATCCGTTTTGATGTCGGCATTCTCTGATATTTCTTTGATGTCACACCTCAACTGAGAAATGGTATGGATTAACGTAAGCCTGGTTTAAGAGAGGGCAAAGGTCAGATGTGTGACAGGATCAATGGCAGGGTTGTTTGCAGAATTTTAATGTCACGGATAAAAAATGTCGATTGTTTGAAAAGGGTTATCGTATATGATTGAACTGACAATTGGGCCATTTTTAAGTGAAATGGCTTTGATCTAGATAAACAAAAACAATGAAACTAAAGAAACATTTTTCACCTTTTTTAGAAAAGCGTGGACTGTAAAGCCATTGACATTCAAAATCCATATCTGGGGAACAAGGTTAACCCCGAGTGCAGGAAAAGAGGTAGTTATGACAAGATACTGGGAAGTCATCACAAAACTATAAACTGACTGAGCTAAGCGCTGCGGAAAAATCAGCAATTTCTGCCTCATGACCTTCACCCATGTTGATAGTCTTGACAAACAAAGGATATAGAAGCTAGACCCCCAGTACAGCACCACCTTCCCTCCCGTGCCCTCAAACCACTTGACTGAATTTGACTTTAATTCAAGAGAGTCATAAAGGGCGATTACCCCACACAGTTAATCCTGTAAGTCCCTGATATCCAGTATCTGATATCAAATTTAATCCTAAAATCAAACTGACAAGCGAGTTAATGTGAAAATTAAACCTCTATCAAACCATATGGTCAATATTTAATAAACTTAATACTTTGATGTTAGAAAACAGTTTCATATATTAATGGACATAAAAATATAAAATGAAATAAAATGTAGCAGAGATTTACTCCCTTTCAGCAACTGCAAGACACCTAGATCTCACGAATCGCAAATGTTATAGCACAATTTTGAAGGTCTATATTTCTCAATGCCTTATTTTGTTATACATTCACAGCGGTCTGAGATATTTGCTCACCGTTGTGTTCAACGGTGCAGTGTGTACATCGGTGCAGATATATTTTTGCGCTTGCAATTTTGACAATTTTGAAGATAGTTTGGAAAACTAACCTTCCAAGTTTCATTATTAATGTCACCGAACATAGTCAAAAAGTGGAAGAGCAACATGGTGAAACAAGTTCAACTTTGCGCGATATATTTCATCAATCAAGTCAAACAGAATTAATAAACACAACACAATGGATGTAATATTACCACCGAGTTTCCTCAAAACGTTCAATTCTATAGGAATCACAAGACAGTCAGACAACTGGAAGATAGAGGAAAGAGATCGGAAGATAACTGTCACTCTAACGTGGGATGTTGACCAAGAAAACGAAGCACGCCATCCAAAGACAGACAAAAATCATGAGAAAGGTTCAAAGAAACAGAACGTAAGTGAAGGGACAAAAGCTTCGAAGGAATCAACAAATACCAACAACGCTACAAATGGATACAATACTCTCTCCTGGTCGAGGTCTCAAACTTCGACAGATTCGAGTTCACTGATAACAGATACGGAACCAGCAAAAGAGAATTTATCAACACGGTCAGGATCGAGGTCGGCGTGCGAGGATGACAACAGATTTAAAAACAAACCATCTGGTCTCGAGATTGTTCCTGATAATTGTGTCCGCATGATGGATAAAGAAGTAAGCCACAGAACCATAAAAGGTGAAATAAAAATCAAAATGGAAAGCACCGAAATCGAAGCTTTGCTGAAAAAAACGGGAGAATATGATTCCATATCTTCAGTATCAAATCCTGACAATCTCCAAAATTCTCATCAAAGGGCTCATTCGATATCCGAGTCTGGTGGTACAGTGTCCTTGAAACAGGTACCGAATCACAATTCTGTTGATCGAGAGCAGACAACGAAAAATACGAAAATTTCCACATATCCAAGTAAGCTCTGTAACGGTACTCTGACACCCAATGAAATTACATCAGTTAAGATAGAGCCCAGTCAGACTGAACCTGAAGACAACCGACAAAATGAGTTGACTACTGATCAAATTCAAAGAGAAAGTTCAGGTACAGATATCCGTGATGTTTGGCAAAAACCAGCTGTTAATTTTGCTCATAGCACTTGTACTCACTTGTGCGATATGCCAGTTGATGAATTTAAGTCCTGTGATAACACAAACCGGGTATCCTCTAATGACTTTCAACAGCCCCATTCAATGGAGAACACTGTGAAGCATCCGAATGTCTTTAGAGATAGCAACAACAACCAACAATTAACTGCTCATTCCCAATCAGTTGGCGAACAAGGAAGGAACAAACGAAAGAGTCTCCCAGAAAGGCCACCATTCTTAAAATCCTTAAATCGAGTTCTTACCGAAAAGGAAATCGACATAAGAGTGGACAAGTTCGCAAAGAAGCTTCGAAAGCAACGGAAATGGATCCCGGATCGTTACAATCACGATAATTCTTATGAAATTAACGAAATTGATGGATTCAAACGGAGGATTCGCGCAGTGAATCAATGGCAAATAGTTAGACGAAGATTCGAACAATCCATGTCAAAGGTTGAAGGTCAGAGTTCATTGGAAATTGCACCGGAAGTACCATCAAGTTGGTCGGATTCAGATTCTGACAGAGAACCATATCTAAAAGGATCTTCCAAAAAGAAGCACGAAGTAGATCCGAATAGACCACCCTTTTTAAAATCCATCAATAGAATTTTGAACGCTGATGAACTAGAAGACAAAATTCAACAGTTCTCAAAAAAGGTTTACAATGAACGAAGATGGATTTTTGCACATTTTCAAAGGTATGCGAAAAACGAAGTTGACGGCTTTAAGTGCAGGATTATGTCTGTAAGCTATTGGCATATTGAACAAAAAAGACTGTCTGACACTGGAAAAGCATCGGATAAATGTTTAAAAAGCTTTCCACAGACAAGCACTGAGTCATGTCAAAATTCAACTAGCTCTGATTCGAGCAATGGATCAATCTCTGAGAGAGGGAAATCGAAAAAATCTGGTAAAAGGCGAAAGAAAGAACTGCAGAATCAAAAACCGGCCAAGTTCCAGAAAATCGCTGAATGAAAGGTTGAATGTCGTGTAGAAGATGCATGTTTGCCCCCTTAAAAAACAAAGATGATACTCTGTGATTGTGTTTGTCAACTGTGTATTCCAGTCTGTTGTTTGTTATTTTGTATGATGATATGTGAAAATCTGCAATTCTGATGACCATTAGGGCGGGATAAAAAAAATTAATAAAACCCAAGGTGAAAATCGCACCTTTCAAAAAGATTTTCGTTTAATATATTTTATTTATTTAAGTTTTATTTTACCAATAAAAGCTTTTGTTTTAAATCAGTGTTGTTCTAATTCCAATGCTCCCTTCTTTCTTCTGCAGTTTTTAATTTGCGTTATAGAGATCAAATATCGAATTTTTCCTTTCATTTCTTTAAATGATGCTTTCAAAAGACAAACTAAAGTCTGGACAAATTGATGGGACATAAAATTAGTCTGTTTAGACTGATGGGTCAAAGGTTTCGGCCATAAAACACGAACAATATTATTATTACTAAAAAAATCTCTGATGGTCAACAACTCAAGGTCATCTGTCAAAGGTCATGAGCTAATTGGTTGTAAAACATCCATAAACACGTGGAAATTGTTTTTCTTTATTGAACTGTGTTTTATTACTGTGATAATCGTGTCTATGGTACTTCAAAACATTGTATATTCATGTTAATCAAGACTATTATCCTTAAATATCCTATGAACCCGAAAGGTTTGGTCAAGGATGCAATAGTTTGAAAACAATGCATTGAATTTTGATATATCCTCTTCGCCTCCGTTTTGTTGATGTTCCATCGTGATATGAGGTTCCAGAATTCAATTTTATTTATCAATTAAGATCAAGTCAATACTAATAATCTGATTATTCGGTTTTTTATCTGTAGGTTCTTTGCTAACAATCGATCAATAGTGTAATTCTGCTAAACTTTGGACATTCTATCAGGATTTTGAAAAATTGTTGTTGTTATTTCAACCTGTCTTCTGCTGTTTTTGTTGTCTACGTTTCTGAAAGATTTCAACCCACAAATATGTACATTTGTTAAAATGCGACCATTTGAAGAACCTTTCCTGAAATAAATTCAGTAAATAATTTGCCTCGGGATTTTTAAGTGATATTATTTTTCAATTTATAGATCTTTTACATATTCAAGTGTACAATCTTTACATCAAAAATAGCTGATTGGCTGAATTATTCCAAGTCAGCAATCAAAGGGTTAATGTGTTATAAATCTGTAGTATACCACTTCACATTGACCCTTTGACTGCCAGTCTGAATTAACATTGGTCTTTCTCTCAATAAGATAACTCATCGATTGTTTTCAATTAATATATTATTATTCGCCTCGGATATTTCTTGAGAACTTTTTTCTAAAAGCAATTGCCGAAATCTTCGACTTCAAGCGACTTCGACTGATTGCATAATGAACCTTCGATAACCAAAGTTGTTCTTTCGATCTTCTCTTTCTTTTTTCCAAACAGAAGTGAAAAGGGTCATAGATATGATGCTATAACAGAAACATTTTACAATATTTAGGACATCCACATAAAAATTGATTTTGATATTTACCGTTTCCATAATATTCAAATACAACTAGGTCAATTAGTCAAAGACTGCTAGCGATCAACTCTCAGTTTCAAGTTAAAATACTTACATAGCAGGTGGCCAGACTAAAATAACAAACTACACATGTTCAAACGGAAGTCTCTCTAGGTATTGAGATAACAATTTTCCCAGATTCACAGCAGGTCTCGAGACAGATGGAATAATGAGATATAACCTGGAAGATATGAAGATTTTCTTCTTGTAGCCTACTCCAACACTATCTTAAAACGAGTCTTGGAGAAGGCTTTCATAACTGTGCTTCGTAATATTGGCTAATTGCATTCTAATGATATGTTAATTGCTGTTACAGAAAGGAACACGAATAGGCCAATAGGAATACCACGAAGTTGAATTGAATTTTAACTCTTAGAAGCCTATTCCATCACCTTTATTTTTAATATTTTCTCATCTTTTAGGCCCTACAAGAAACTTTAAGAAATTAAACTATGCTCTTTTGATCAAACCAAACTTCAGAATCAGGATTTCTACCTGAAATGGTTGGAATTTCACGATCTATTTTGATTTGAAATGTCATGAAACAACCGGAATTCCCACCAACGACAGCGTGTTGAAAGACGAGATGAGTTCACTCCTTCTTTCAACAAAATGCACGAAATTATTTGTAACAGAATATTTCGAACTTGTTCAAAAATCTGTGCAGTACAATATGTTAAAATAATTGACTGGTTGAGAAAGTACGAAACCGCTGTTATTTAAGACGCCATGTTGGTTTTATTAGGTTATCAATGGAGTGATAATGACGTCAGGTGACGATGGCACTTCTGTTCGACTTCTGCTTAAATAATTAACAAGTAGCTTTGCAGTCATCAGAATTTCTTTTTATAATCCTTTGTAGTTTCTGGGTGGCACAAATATGATTGTAGAATATTGTCAACGAACGCATCACGATGATCTTGGGAACAATATTAGTGGCCCTTTTGGTTCGTTTTCTACAGGAACTCTGTGTTTGACCTTTGTTCGATTTTAAGCCATTCTTGCAAACATGGAAATTCATGTGGGACAACTTATTTCTTTCCAAATTTCCGCCTATTCACACTCACACCCTTATCGATGGCCCTTTAACATCACATTAACCCTTTAATTTGTCAATATTTACATTTCAATTGAGCGAGACCCTTAAATTAACCCTTAAAACATGGAGTATTTGTTATGTCAATATTTTCCATCCATTAGAATTAGAACGTAAACACGTCATGATAACTATTACGTCATCAATATTTAAATTTGTCACCATGTCATCACTGGAATTTAAATGACATGCGTCAAAGTCACGTGCTGGTTTTCAAGTTATCGTGACCTACTTATCAAGTTATTTTTTCTCGTCTTCTCACGAGACTAAACTCTGAGACATGTCTTACGTCATAAGAATATGTCAATCATTAGTGATAAGTAGCGACCCCTAGTGGTGAATTTTATTATCGACAAAAGAGTTAGAATAAAGGGTCATTAGTAGGGCTGAAAATTAACCCTTGTTCATAATGACTTGAACGGCAGGAGGGTTGCACTGACCTGCGTCCGTAATAAACAAAACCCTGAGAGAGTTAAAATGAACAAACTGGCCACTGTGTCTGTATTCAAACATTCACGACGGGAGACAAGGGTTAACATTCAGATTGTATTCAAATACTCTACTGGAGTTAAAAGGGTTAACAAATGGATTTATATAATACAATAATTAGTTAAAACCGCGACCCTTTATTGATAGAAATCACAATGATTGGAAAAATAAAATCAAGGAGATAACTTTCGCTAAAAAGACAAGATAGTATACAACAAAAATATGGAAGCTTACATTGAATTTTAGATTTTAATATAATGAATTTTAGACCCTTTTTTATGATAGATCAGTTTTCTTATAAGTACTCTACCGACCCCTACTCTTGACACATATAAATTAGACACACATAAGATTTATGTAAAGGATTTTCATAGAAAAAAGTTTTTATCGTGCCAAACGATGGCAAGCAGGTTGACACTGGCACAATGGCAGGTATTTGAATCCACTTGTCAAAACATATATTAGAACAGAGCTAATAATACATGCTTCAAATGAATTTTGAATTCTGAATATATAATTTTAATGTATGAAAATCCAATGAAATTTGAAGACCGGTCACTCTGCTCATTAAACAGTAAATAATGAGAAATATTTAATATTAATGCAGAATAAATCCCCTGTATTAAATTTAAATACATGGCAGTGAATACTTTATTTCATATAAATTTTCATAAATTTACACATCGTCCATTTTGGCAGTTTAACAAGCTCTGTGGTTAGAATTAAGATGGAGCTTTACGACCTACTGATTTGATCAAGATTGAGTTAATGAAGGGAAAGAGGGAATTTTATTTTAATACAGTAGCATCAGAGTAATCTTTTTCTTGAGTGTGGGGGATCTGTCGAAGCCCCAGAGACCCGCATTCTGACTGAAGGAACCTTTAAGATGATATCCAGTACAGTGAACTCTTTGAATTCCGACTGAGTATTCCGACAATCTGTACCATCCGACATCTTTTTTTCCAAAAGGTCTACAGTGAAAGTTCTGCAAGCGAATCTGCCGAGACTACCGAATGATCTTTTTTGGTCCCGATATGCAAATTGGAATATAAATTGGAAAGGAGATCGGCTTGCTGTAAAGAACCAAGATTGGCATTTCCTTTTATGGTTATGTATTTATTTTCATTATATATGTATATTATTATCATAACTGACAATATATATCCCTGCACTGACAAGTCAATCCCTGCCCCCGGGCTAAACACGAGACCTGCTTTAAGTTGATGAGATTCTAATCCCCAATCCCAACATAATAGCCTGGTTAAAGAGGAGGAAAGTTTGAAAATTGAGTAGAATATTAAAGTATATAGTGAATTGATCATTTATATACCATGAAATATGAATTCATAATGACAATGATAATCCAAGCTGTTTGATTTCTGAAAATTAACTCGAAAGTGACAGCCGATATAAAGTTTCAAATTTCTAGTGTGGCATTTGAACAATTTTCCTTGGCAAGAATTCGAACCTTCGTTGCTGAATCTTATTATTCCCATTGATCCCTAGCGAGATCAATTGTTACAAATAAAAGATATAAAGAAATAGGAAAATTTAGTCGAAGACAAGACACAAATGTTTAGAAAATTCTATTCGTAATGGGCAAGATTATATGCTTTACACCTCATCGTCCTTCGAAATGGACAAATAGAAAGCGGACTTTATAAAATAAAAAAATGAAATCTTTAGGGTCTTTTTTTTAAATCCCCCTTGCAATGACGCCCTCAAAATGAACCATCGTTTGTGAATCTGGGGATATTGTTCAATGTGATAAACACTTACTGAATTTATAACAGTTAACCACTAAATATACTCTGACAGGTTCATTCAAGTAGAATTAGTTACATTATGAGAATAAGAAGCGTGAAATTCAGTTCGACAGTTTCCTAGATCTTTACATATGGGGCTGATTTTCGTCTTCCCTTTCTGAAAAATCCTAAGCAGCTGATTCGAACAGGTTTTATCATATTAATTTGGCCGGTGAACGGTCTTAACATACCCGTGTAAGTATTTGGGGATGAAAGCCTACACCTGGCCGACTCTCGAAAGCACTGGTACAGAATATGTATAAGGTTGTCCTTCGTGATTCCAATTTCTGTAATGTGG